AAGTGTTCACTGTTTGGCAGGCGTTGGGCTCAGCCTGGGCATACGCACAAAAGACAAAATGAAAAACAGCCCCAGTCCTCAGGGAGCTTATGTTCTGCTGAGGGAAACACCGTGTGCACATAGAAGTGAATACAAAATATATGGACAGTAAATACGAGGTCATTTATTTTGTGGAGGGCGAGGAAACTCTGGTAATTGGCAGGATTGAGTTAGTCTTTGATCTGCCTCATGAATGGAGCAGAGATTCCAAGCGGCAAAGATAAAGGTGGAGAATGTTCCACGTATGAGGAGGACCTCTGAACTCCCTGTCAACACTGAGATTCTGTGATTTTTGTGACTGTATGTCTTTATTTCCTTAAAATAATGAGCCTTCACTCTTTTCCAGGAGTGTTATGTACTAGATTGTAAAGTTAGAATGGGGGGATAGCCCAGCACTAAAAGAAATAATATTTGTGGGCAAACAAGCACTGCATTTCATATCTCTTTATGTTCCCTTGATGCATACTTTCCTCTCCTCTAACCTCTGTCTCATTTTATGGGCAGAAGTGGGTCTTCTACACGATGGTGTTCTATACTACTATCTCTCTGTTTTAGTTCCTCTCCTTATCTGGGCAAGTTATCTTTCATTTCATGAGTAATTACTGCCATTGGAAGAGGAGGAAGGGAGGTCCTGGATTAGGAGCTAGTCCCCTCTTAACACCTATAAGTAAATACAATTAGAGAACAAAGGAACTTGTAAAAAAAAATCAGGTTACACAGTAGATAGAGCACTGGGCTCAGAGTCAAGAAGACCAGAGTTCAAATGTGGCCTCAGACACTTAATATCTATGTTAACCTTGGGCAAGTCGTTTAAAACCTCTGTTTGCTTCAGTTTCCTCAACTGTAAAATGGGGGTAATAATTGTCCCTGCCTCCCATGGTTGTAGTGAGGATCAAATATTTGTAAATATTTACTGTAGTGCATGGTGCATTGTAGGCATTATTTAAATTTTAGCTATTATCGTTATCGTTGTTATTGTTGTAAAATATGGGACTTTTGGCGGAAATTATACTTTGAATCCATTTATTTATCGAGGTTCTGAAGAGAGTTACTTGCATTTGATCTAAGCCTGGATATATGTGTGATGGAAAGCCACCCCTTACCTCCAGTTAGGACTGTGCATTGACACAGAGGTAGGGCAAGGGCTGCAAGAATACATTTTTCTTGCTCATCACTGAAAAAGTGGATTTTTGGAGAGAAAATAAACAGAGAAATCTTTTGGGGGAGAATGGTGCCTCTGAATCTGCGGCCCCTGTCTCCTCCTCCTCCTCTACCTCTTCGTAGGGGTTAAGTGACTTGCCTAGGGTCACACAGCTAGTTAGTGTCAAGTGTCTAAGGCCAGATTTGAACTCAGGTCCTCCTGACTCCAGGGCCGCCCTGTTGCTTCTTTAGCACCTTTATTTGGCCCCCATATTGCCTATGGCATTAACTGACAGGTGGAGAATACTCCATCTGTGGTGGTTTCTTTTGGGCCTCTCTTTTCTTCCTTGATACACCATCTTGGTCATCAGGTTCACAGATGGGTCATTAGTAGAGAAGGCGGTATTCAAAAGTCTTTTGTCTTATGTTATCTATGCCTCCTATCTGTTCTAGTCAAGGATATCTTGATAAGTGCTACACCCTTATTAGTAAAAACGAAGTTGTTTAACAATGACCACTGTCCCATCTGAGATTCTCAGCAGAAATTCCAAGAAGCTCAGAGGCTTTTAGGTAACATGGGATTGGAAGGGAGAAAAAAATTCATCTTCTGGGAAAGAATTGACATTATCTCACATTGACTCTTTTGAATGCACAGTTAGGTAATGAAATCAACATTTGTCATGGAGCCAACCCTAGATGTTGGTGCCTCTTTCCCTCCCATCTCTTTTCAAGAGCTGTTGGGGGTTGATTGCATCATTTTCAACTTTTTAGAGGCTTTCCACCTCTGTTGAGGTTTCCTCCTCTTTTTTTCTGGCTGTGTACATGAATAGGTGTTCCTCGTGAGTCAGCAGCTGCTGTTGGCCTGGTTGCCTCCTCCCACTCCTTCCTTCCCCCCGTCTTGTATAATCAAAATTATGACTTGATTTAATTAAGTAAGACTTCAGTAAGATCCGAGAACCTAATTTTGATGCATTGATATTGTAGCACTTGCATTTAGATATTCTTATTACTTGTTTGTTTTGGAAGTTGGCCTGAGTTCTTGGTTTTCAGTGTTGTATATGATATTCTAATAAAGATGGATTATTTCACTGCATCATGATGATTATTTTATATTTTTCAAATATACTAATCTTTCACAGGATTGGAGATTACAGATGACTTCCTCAATTTTTGTGAGTTAGCTAGCAGCCTCATTCTCAATTGGGTTATTATAGGAAGTGAGCTAAGGGATGTTTTTGAATTCTCTAGCTTATAACTCCAAACTACAAAGGAAATTCCAACATTCAAATCTCATTTAGATAGTTGTGCCATAATTTAATTCTTTTTAAAAGTAATTTTTATTGCCATCTTTTTCTTTTACATCATCTAGAGTTCTCTCTGTATCCTCCCCCTTCCCCCTGCCAGACAGCCATCCCTTATGATAAAGGATTTTTTTTTTAAATATGAAGAAGAAGGGGAAGAAAGCTCAAAACTGATCACTTCATCAAAAAATCACGTTATATGCAGTGTGCCACACCTGTGTACCCTGCATCTCTGCAGAGGATTTGGGGGAGATGTCTTCTCATATCTCATTTTTGAGGCCAGGCTTATGTTTTGTAACTTTGCAACATTCATTCTTGATTAATTTATTGTGGTTGTACTTTTTCTTTACATGGCTGTATTCATTGTATACATTTTTTGTCTTGACTTACTTCAGTTTGTATCAGTTAATATAATTCTTTTCATACTTCTCTCGTCATATTCACTGTTCCTTATAGAACAGTGATATTCCCTTATGTTCCTGTACCACAGTTTGTTAAGCCATTCCCAGGCAGTGGGGCTTTGTTTTCAGTTCTTTTGCTACTAGAAAAAGTGCTGCTATAAATATTTTGATGTATATGGAGGCTTTCTTTTTGTCAGTGATCTCTTGCCTAGCAAGATCTCTTTGTCTAGCTCTGGAATCTCTGGGTCAAAGGGTATTAGACACTTTAGCCCTTTATTTGCATGCATGATTTAGTTCTTTATGGGAAAAATGCTTCTATTCATCTTTTTCTGAGGAATGTGAAATGTATTAATGCAGAAATTTTAGCCTGGGAAAGGACTCTAGGTTCAGAAGTTTTAAGGAGTGTGTGTTGCATCTCTTTTGTTTGTTTAAACAATAAAAATTTTGAAGAAACCTGTGGTTTCTTTGACAGTGCACTTATGCCAATTGGCATGCTTTTGGCCAATCCCATGGACATGGGCAAGGCGTAGCTTCTCGGCCAGAGAACACAAATTGCATCTTGTGTGGTATATTATCAAAAGGTGATCGACCGGAACGCTGAGTTCCATGTAATTTTCAGTTTGGCTGCCTCTTTGGCTTCACATTGAGCTTCTTAAGCTTTTAGTCTCTGGAGCTTTTATGACTGGAAAATTTTGAAGGAAATTGTAGCTATTTTTTAAAAAGTGAAGCTACAAAGTTGAAGAAAAACAATTTTATTTTGCTCTAAGCTTCACAGGCCATTAGAAGTAGGTGGATGCTGGGTGTGCTCCTGGGTCTGGTGCTGGACTGGAAGGCTCTTTTCTGAGAGAGGGCCTCACTGGGCTCAGTGTTGAAATAACGTTGTGCATGTCAGCTGAACAGCATGTCACCTATGGGTTCTTCATCACTGTCATCATCCCCAGGTCCTTTCTATCTCCCTAACATTTCTCACCCCCCCACTTCTCTCCTCACCCTCCCACCCTCTAGCTTAGGCCCTCCTTGTCTCTGCTTGGATGCTTTTCTCCTGCTTCTAGTCTCTCCCTTCTCTTCTCCACCTCCTTAGATGCCAAGAAGACCTTCTTAAAGCCCAGGCAGGTCTGATCACAGGTCACTCCCCTGCTCAGAGACCTTCAGGAGGGCCACACTCCTTGGCCTAGAATGTGATGGCCCCAGTTGGGCTCCAGCAGAGCTCTTTAGCCTTATTTCACATTATTCCTTTTTATGTGCTCTGTGCGTGATGGATGACCTTGGCTCTTTTTCCGCATTGATGCTCCCCCGGACCCTTCTCTCATGCTGGGAACACTCTCTTTTCTAGTGTCTTATAATCATCCCTTTCTTTCAGGGCTCCTCCCTCCAGCTCTCAGTGGGTCTGAAGCTGCCCATTGACAGGCTCAGAGCTTCACTCAGGCGTGTTGTTCCCCAGCAGGCTCTGAGCACCAGTCCTGAGAAGGCCACACCCACTAAATCTTAGAGACTTAGAACTTGTCTGGGATCTGCTGACGGCTTGACTCTTACAGATTGGTCCGAACTACTTGGCTTTTGCCGAACCATGAAGTGACTTCACTTCAGCACATCTAATTGCAGCAGACCCAGAACCAAAAAGGCAAGAAAGACAAAACTGTCTTCAACCCTGCCAGGCCTTTTGGAGATAAACTGAAATATGTGAAAGTATCTTCGAGGACTTAATAGCTGCTTTACTCATGCAGTGATGTTGGCTCACGCAGACCCAAGTAAACCCTTTTTTCTCCCCACAGATACCACATGCTCCTCTTCCACTCAATCCCATCTGAAAAATCTCTCCCTTTTCAAAATTTCCGACAGTGCTTAAGCCTCTCCCCTTTGCCCTTACCATCCTTTATTTTATTTATCTGTGTCCATGTCATACACTCCCTGTAGATTGTAGGGCTCTTCAGGGCAACAATGGTGTCATTTTTTTTATTTGCATCTCTAGTGCTTAGCTAATCTAGTACATGCTTAAGAAGTTTTTAATGTTGAGTGTCGGATCATTCCCCAATCACAGATTGACCTCCTGGGCCAGGGCAGCTGGAGGCCACTGCTAAGTCACGTTTGTTTACTGACCATTGTTCACTCTTAATCTTAGGCACCGTTGGCTCCACTGCATGACTGATGACCCTCCCACAACTGTCCCACCCACCGCTCGTAAATTCATCTGGAAGAACCACAAATTCAACCTGAGTGGCACCCCCGAACAGTATGTTCCGTTTTCTACGACCCGGAAGAAGATTCAGGAATGGGTCCCACCTTTGACACCTTACAAATAGACCCAACTGAGAGGAGAAGCTCCAACTTTGTTGTCAGATGTGGGGCATCTGTGTAAATTGTACATTTGATAGTTAAATCCTTTAATAAAGTTGTATTGTGTCTTCACGACCATTTTGGCTTTTTCAAAGTTTCATCTCGCACAGCATGTAGTAGAAAGGTTTCAAAGTGTGGCTCCTAGGCAAGCTTTCCAAGCCCACCTGATGGCTCTCTACTTTGTGGTAGCCCTCTCGGTGCCTCGGCCCTAAAGGCACAAGGACAACTTGGAATGCTAGAGCAGCCCCACTCAGAGGGGAGGGCCCTGTGTGAATCACTCTGCCTTGCTGCTCTTGGTGCTGGGCTGAGCTCATCTGGTAATGAACAGGTTTAATAACGTTGCTAAAGGCACAGCATCTGTCCTGTAATAAAACAAAAACAATACATTTTAAAATTTCATAAAACAAAAGCCCACTGGGAAATAACAGCAGGCATCAGTCATAAAAATGAATAAGTAAAAATCCCAAACAGAAGCAGTCAGCATCTTTCAGAAGAAAAACTACATTAGTTACCCCAATACTGTACTGTAGTGATTCCAGATAGATTGATGGGTATCTCTGGTGTTTGTAATTGTATGTGCATGTGAGCTTGTGAGTTTTGGCAGATCTGCATCGCTGTTCGGTAATGCTCCTGCTCGGGAGAAATGCTCTTATTTTTAGTGAAAAATATATGAAAAATCATATACATAAATATATACCATTATACATGCATATGAGGTACCATTGCATCATAAATGTGCGGTAAATCCATCTGTATTTGTGGCAGTTATGTTCCTGGAAAATTATATAGAAGTGTTTGGGTTTGTAAGGAAAATGAGGTCACCGTATTCTTTCATTCAGCACTTATTAAACACTGCTGTTTTCAGTACCTGGCACCTAATAGGTGCTTAATAAATGCTTGTTGACTGACTCTTCTGCCCTTAAGGAACTTACATTCTGTTGGGGGAGATAACACACACACATGTAGAAAACAGATATCAAGTTACCTATAAGTAAAGGAATCACTGGAGTTCAGTGAGTAGGATGGGATGTGACATGGTCAGACCTTTAGGATAATCACTTGGTGCCTATGTGGAGGATGGCTGAGAGAGGGGAGGCGCTAGAGGCAGAGAGATTAATTGGGAGGCTGTTGGTGTAGAAACAGCAAGATTTGGCAAGAAATTGGATGACTGTGGGATTGTGGGATGAGACTGAGAAGTCAAGGTTGCCACCAGAATTGTGAACCTGAGTCACTGGAGGAGTATCTTCTGTTTTTTATATCATCATAGTTTTCCCCAGAGGGCCATCCCACATGACAAATAGTATTTTTAGAGATGTTCTAAAAAGGACAAAAATCAGTTCAACTGATTTTTGCAGTTAAAAAGTTGCATTAAACTTCTTAATGCATTAAAAATGCATTAAAAATGTAAAGGTGCAAGGGGTAACACCTGTAGATCTCCTGCCTCCATGAAAGGGTGGGGCTGTCTTGTATCTCTTAATTTTTATTGTGTTACATTTACTTGATTTTTGGGTGTGGTTCTTTCCATTTGCCTTGTTGAGGCCACTGCATATTCTTTTCTTGTCTTGATTGACTTCACTTTGCATTAATTCATGTAGGTTTTTCCATACTTCTCTGTATTCATCAAATTTATCATTTCTTACAGTATGATAGCGTTCCATTATGTTCATTTGCCACAGTTTGTCTAGCTATTCCCCAATCATTGGGCATCAACTTTGTTTCCGATTCTTTGCTGTCACAAAAAATGTGCTAAACTAGGTAGCACAGTGGAGATAGAGCACCGGCCCTGGAGTCAGGAGGACCTGCGTTCAAATTCAGCCTCAGACGCTTGACATTCACTAGCTGTCTGACCCTGGGCAAGTCACTTAACCCCATTGCCAACCCCCCCCCCCCCAAAAAATGATGCTAAAAAGACCTTTGTACATATGGGGACTTGTTATCAGTGGCTTCCTTGGGGCATAAGCCCAGTAGTGGAGTCTTGGATTCAAAGAGTATGGATATTTTAGGCACTTTATTTACATAATTACATTTCTAAAATAACAATGTAATTTCCAAAATAGTTATACCATTTCACAAGTTCACCAACAGTGTATTAGTGTGCCTATCATCCCATAAGCCCTCCACCACTGGCCAATTTTTGTCATTTTTGCCGTTTTGCAGGGTATAAGTGTTTTATCTTCAAAACTCAAAGTTTGATTTTGGAGCAAACCTGTGTTTTGGTGTAATCTGTATGTGTTTGAGGATCCCCTGAAGTTTAAAAAATTCATGCAAATGACAGCACTGTTTGCGTTTGATGGCCCAATTTATCTATTATCTACCTTATAGGGAATTCTGTGACTTCCCAGTAGACAGGTTTACAGCTTTGGCTACAAATTTGGAATTGGGGATAGGCTGAGGTCTGAGTCCCTGAGCCAGAAATTTTGAAATTTATTCCCATGAATACTAAAGACTGCTACAAAAAAATTTTATGTGACTAAGAAATAGCGAACATAAAAAGCATAAACATAGGGGATTAATTGGCCAGTATTTTCAAAGCATAGAAACAAGGTGGCAGATTCATACTTTGTAATACATAAAAGCTGTGCCCTAAATCTAAAACTTTGAATATGGAAAATTACTCCATTATCTAGGAATATATATGTTATATTCCATTTTTGAAAACTTGCTGGTTTGCAGATCAACATATTGATATTCCAGGACTCTGCCTACATTTGGAAAGTGTTTTAGAGCTATTCAAAACCATTAGAGACAATAGCTTTGGTGAGTTAAGTAGAATGAATACATCCCTCTTTCAACAAATGAATAAAAGCATTTACTAAGCACTTATGTACCAAGTACTGAGCTAGGTATTGGTGATGGAGATACAGAGACAAGACAATCCCTGCCCTCAAGGAAATCAGATTCTAATGGAGGAAGCACATAGAGGGAGTGGGGAGTCATGGTTTTGGAAAGTCATGAAGATGGCCAATGGGAACTAGTCAACCGTATAAAGTCATTTCAGCAAAACTGTATTTCACAAGTAGCTTCTAATGGATTCATTGTTTTGATCATTGTTTAGCTCAAATGACAAACAGGATATTTGTACCCGTAATCAAAATATGTTGATATTTTGGTTTTGGAAATTGTTCTAAATAACTAGTATATTTGGACAAGGCCCATCTAAGAATTTCAACCTATTTACAAATGGCAGCACTGTATATCATAGAATATGGCAGCCTAGTATATTGGTTGACCTGAAATTTCTTGGTATGAAAAATTCACTTATAAATTTGCTTATGCTTAGTCATTCTAGAGTAATCAAAGTTGCTTATTCTGCTTCTGAAAAGATGGCCAACAAGCATTTATTAAACACGTTGCATGCTAGGCACTGTGCTAAGTGTTGAAGACATAAAAAGGGAAACAAATGATTCCTGCCCTCAAGGAGCTTACATTTCATTAGGAGGAACAACGTAGGTAGGTAGATAGATGGATAGATAGATAGATAGATAAATAGATAGATAGATATGACAAGTTTATACAAGATATAAATATTAAATACAAGCTAGTTAAATGCAAGGTGGTTAGGGAGGGTGGGCTCTAGGTCAGGAAGGGCCTCTTTCTTCTAGGTCAGATTTGAGCTGAGGCTTGAAGGAAGTGAGGGACTCTAGGAGGTCTGGGTGAGGATGGAGTGCATTCTAAGCAGGGAAACAGTCAATGCAGAGAAGGCTAGAGAAGAGGGTGTGTTGTGTACAGAACAGAGAGACCATTTTTCTTGGAATGTGGAACACAGGAAGAGTAATAATGTGTAATGAGGCTGGAAAGATTGGGGCCAGGTTGCGTTGGAGCATGATTGTAGCTACTGCTCCCACATAACAAAAGAGAAGCACAAAGTTGAAAACTTGCTGGTTTGCAGATAAACATATTGATATTCCAGGACTCTGTGTACATTTGGAAAGTGTTTTAGAGCTATTCAAAATCATTAGAGAGAGACATCAGCTTTGGTGAGTTAAGTAGAATGAACACATCCCACCACTATCTTATTCAGGGATATACACTAGCTTTGCTAAAGCCTAGCAAACCAAGCCCATGCTCCCTCATCACACACTTAGAAGGGTCTATTAAAGTTGGAAGGCAACTCAGTGTGAAAAACCCCCTACCAACAAAGATGAGAATTTATTTTAAATTTTACATAGCCCCACCTAGGGCTCACAGCTCTTGCCTCACCTCAGTGTCTCACTTCTGGGACCCTGAGCCCTGATTAGTGAGCACATCACCTTATCCTGCCCTTTCTCAAGCCTGCCAGGTTGCTTCCTGGCCTCCACATCGTGGCATCGTACACACTGCTGCCCACATACCCTCCTCTTCCATCTGTGTCAGCCTTCCGACTCTAGTTCTGAGAACAGTATTTGAATCAGCACTACCATTCTTGGCATGGACTTCTCAATCAATTGCCCAATAATTATTCCAGTGGCCATCCGTTTGTATTTCTTTGTCCTCCCTGTCCATCACTTCTTTATAATTATTGTCTTCTATTAGAACAAAAGCTCCTTGAGGGCAGGGATGGTTTTGCTTGCTTGTATTTGAATCCCCCATCAACAATGACATGACAAGTCATACAAATCAGAGTATTAAGCCCTTAGTAAATACTTTTTCATTCTTTCATTTATTCAGCTTACAACTCAGTTTATTTGCCTTTGTTGGTATGGAACTAGACTTAGGTTAAAATTTTGTATATATTCATATATGCTTATACTCAGCATAGATCTGTTTTGGGAAGGTTTTTTTAGGTTGAGTTACCTTGTTTACTAAAAGTGATCTCATTGAATTTTGTGCCACCTTCCTCACAGAGGTAAGTCGTTGACCTCATTTTTCAGATTAGATGAAGTGACTCACCCTGGGTTGTATATCCAGTAAATGTCTGAGCTAGGATTTAGATGCAGATCTTTAAACTCCAAGTCCAGAGCTCTTGCTGCAACTTTATGTTGCCTCCTTGATAGACGATCCATGTATTTGATGACGCAGAAATGCTTATTATCATGAGATCATCTCATAGATTTGGAATCAGATAGGACCTGAAGGGTATTGAGTCCAGTGATGTCA